GATACTGAATTTATCATGGTCACCAGCCTAATATATAGATTATACGCCAGCAGATTTTGTATTGAAAAACCTCGATTAAATCTTCTAGAGGGCTTTTGGGGAATGAACGTTGAAAAAATATAACTCAGTACTCACTGCAGTGTGTGACAGAGAGCGCATTTTCTCGTCGACGAAAATTTGAGGTCACGGACGGACGGACAGACAGACGGACATGGCGAGCACAATAGTGTATTTTTCCATAAATGAGAAAATGCGCTAAAAAGGAATACTTAGCGTTGTCATGAACCGTTGCGAGCACTGAAGCTCATGGTTGTACCAGCCCAGCTCAGAGGCGGATCCAAAGCACCCATTGATTATAATGCTAATTCTGCCCTGGAAATGACCGGCCATTTGTAGGTACGTGACCTCTTATTGAGCCAGTGTCAGTATCAGCCGTCACTTCTCCATCAAATTAGCTTCTTTAGTTTGATTTAAAAGGTGTAATTAAAGCTGAAAAACATTATTTATATTATATGAGATTTTAGTAACATTGATGAGTGTGTTCCTACTGGAAATTCGGAAATAGACGAAGAAATGAAATGAAAATAACCTCTACGATTGAAGCCACCATCGCGGACATTTGAGGCGCTATTGCTCGAATGCAACTTAGACTTTTATTACAAATTTTGCACTGCAAATTAGAAATTAATTTTTATTCTCGATTAAAAGGTATGTTTCTCGAACAATTTGAATCTTGCCGAGCAATTCTAAAGCAATCTCTCCCTCACATCGCCATCACGATGCATAGACTCAGGCAGCTGGTTGGCATCGTGAGAAATGCACATCGACTAAGCGAAGGCGCGGCGTATGATGGCCGCAATGACAGCATGCTGACTAAACCAATGTCGTTTCAATTCAATCGTTCAAAACAATTATAAGTTAAAACTTACGGCAACTTCTGTAATTTAATATTTTAATAAATATTTTTGGACAGTATCCCAAAGATTAAAATATTAATTAACCCGTTAAAAATTTTTTAAAAATCCTTGATTGGCGAAAGTTCACCAAATGCCGTCTCCTCGACAGGTTGCGAGAGCATTATGAGTAATGGAGGAGCATTAAGATTGTACTTTGGAAATTAATTTTTTTTTCAGGAAAGTCACACGATTCTAAAAATCGAAACCTAAATTTTGTAATTTCATTGGCAACAGTTGAAGGAGTGTTACGTGATATTACCAATCGGAATATGAATTTGAAAATTACACGGGCAATATTTGAAGAAGCGTTACGTCTTTTCGCAGGTACAAAAACCTATGATTTTGCGGCATCAAATATCAAATAGTAATATAATGTAAAATAAATTAAAATAAATAGCTAACAACAAATTTGTAGAATTTGTTGTTAAAAGAAACCAATAAACCGAGTCTAGGAACAGCGCCACATAATTAGGAACGACGCACCTTGATCAATTCGAAATAAATAAAAAAGAGTCAGAAAGAAATCAGAAAAGGGCTGATGAATTTGGTTTTGCTTCTCCTAACGTACATGATCTTGTGACGAAAATAGTATAGTTTATGGTAATCGTTACTAATTTAAATTTAAGTGTTCATAAGTATCCTACGTTGTTAGCCTTGAAACTATTTTCGTTTAGAGATAAAATCCATACACCATGACATTCTAATTCATTAAATAGCCTGGCATCATTTCTAGCGACTTTGTATTATGGCGGGCTTTTGTTTTCTCGGGATTTACCTCTGAAGATCTGCAAGTCCCAAGGCTATAATCGTCTTCAGTTTCTCTAGCACTAGTCCATGCAGTGACCAATTCCTCTGTGGTAGTCTATTTTTCGTCAGTTTTCACCGCTCCGTTCCAATCTTTTCCTTGGTTCTCCTTCACTGGGACATATGAACGACTGGGACGGAGGTTAACGCTTGCACAAACTTTATTTGGTTTAGCCAGCGGGGAGGGATTAAAAAGCGTTCGGATTTTAGGCTTTATTCACACCTCAAAAACACAGTGGATCTGAAAATAATGACGGCACAAAGAATGCAAAAACTAGCTAAATATGATTAGAAAGGACACAATAAAATAGTAATGTCGCAAAACATCACAATAGTAATGTGGCAATATGAGAAAAATTCTTAAATTGCTCACGAATTAACGTACGTATGTGCTTGGCCCTTTATTGCTAAATCCTGAATAAGAAATTTTTCCATAGTTGAATTTCCTTCACTTAAACGCTCTGAACATGCAAATTTTACCAACGCATTGAGTGCCATTTGATGATTTTTTTATTTCTTCAATCCCCTGGCAGCCGTAGATACACATACTAGACTCACTGTCAACAATCGCTATTGGTTGTTGATTAGCACTAAACCAGTTGTTTTCTAGTTCTAGAATAGCAACCGACTAACGCTAAACTAGCTGTGTACTAACGCTGGATAAACTGTGTAGCAGCGCAATGAGTGGCACCAGCAACATAAGTGGTACAACAATAATATGCGTTTAAAAAGTACTTTCTAAAGACCACACTTCTAAAAAGGCTCATGTCTCGATGTTACAATCCGATGCCCTGAGGTAAGCGCAAGCGCCGTATCATGTTTACCTTCTCTAATGCCATTCAGCAATCAGCAAGCTAAACCATATATTGACTCGTGGCGTCTCAACTGCCGGGAATTATCTTTAGAATACAGATCAGAGCCCAGTATAATCAGCTAATTTCTTCCTTTTGACTATTTAAAAAGCACAAATTATAGATTATTGAATATCATCACATAGCTGTAATTAAGCTGCCATCTGATGAGATATTTCTGCAACTGCTTGAGAAGTATAATATCTCATACAAAATTCTTTTTTCATGCAAAACAGAATTAATTTATTGCCACTGATTGACCCCTTATTTAGTGAGTCTGCCAATTGATTCATGCATTGTCTCCGACTTTGCGCAAGTGTGCAAAATTTCAGATCGATTGGAGCGGTAAATATGTGTTAAATATCGATTATAAGACTTGTAACAGACAGACAAAAAAGAAGTGGAGTTAAATAGAAGTGGGTTAAAATCGATTATAAGATTTTTAGCAGACAGACAAACAACAAGTAAAGTTAAATAGAAGTGGGTTATATATTGATAATAAGATTTTTAGCAGACAGACAAACAAGTGAAGTTAAATAGAAGTGGGTTATAAATTGATTATAAGATTTTTAACAGACAGACAAACAACAAGTGAAGTTAAATAGAAGTGGGTTAAAATCGATTATTAGATTTTTAGCAGACACACAAACAACAAGTGAAGTTAAATAGAAGTGGTTTATAAATCGATTATAAGATTTTTAGCAGATAGATAAACAACAATTGAAGTTAAATAGAAGTCGGTTAAAAATCGATAATATAAGATTTGTAGCAGACAGACAAACAACAACAAGTGAACTTAAATAGAAGTGGGTTAAAAATCGATTATAATATTTTTAGCAGACAGACAAACAACAAGTGAAGTTAAAAAGAAGTGGGTTAAAAATCGATTATAAGATTTTTAACAGACAGACAAACAGCAAGTGAAGTTATATAGAAGTGAGGTAAAAATCGATTATTAGATTTTTAGCAGACAGTCAAACAACAAGTGAAGTTAAATAGAAGTGGGTTAAAAACAGGTCCAGCCGTCGCGTAACTTTGATACGTGACACGCCGAGACGTACCACTATTGCTTTCACGTACCATCGGCGTATTTATACAATTCATTAAATAATTTTATTTTAAATTGAATGAGTCTGAGTGCTTTTGCAATACTCATAGGGCAGGCAAAACATGATAAAATAAAGCTCGGGCAATCAATCAAAAATTCAATCAATGCACAGTAACACACTCATTGCGAAAACTCATGATTGGACCATCGCTTTCAAGAACAAATTTCACATGTAATCGGTTCAGCGATCAGAAAAAGTGATAATTTATTCGAGATAATATGTAGATATATATGTATATTACAGATATGTGGATATATTTTAGAAATTGTAGTGACGCGAACGAAATAATGTACACGTAAAATATAATTTTTAGTGGCAAAAAATGGCATTATAATATGAAACGGTAAAATGGTAATATATGCAAATAACAGATCACTCAAAATTTTTCGATAAATGCTAATGCTCCATCTTTTTCCACTTTTTAGTAAACATCTCGGGAAAACTTTTTTATGGTGTTTGTGACGTTACACATAGCGCTAAAACTTGTTATATTTTTATGTAAACATATTACATCGAGGATCGTCCATAAAATAATATTAAACACACCATATTTATTAGTACCGAAAGTTAAGATGAATAGTAAAGAATATTGTTATCGATTCAACTCAACCCTTTCTAGGGTAAGTGACGTATATGATCAGCTAAAATCTCTTTCCAAAATGATTCACCACCTCCACCAGTTTATGTTGGAACTACGTTTTTATGCCTCTATATTTTACTCTACTATAATTGAGCCTCAATTATTAAGTTTGAGTTTTTTGAGTCTTAAAAATTTTCAATTATTAAGTTTGGGTTATTGAGCCTCAATTAAGAGTTTTTGCAGCGAATTAATCGTAACACAAATGTTATCTCATTAAAAGTAGTATATGTTATCAGGAGAGTCAATCCAACTTTACGTGATCTCATTAGAAATTTATAATTAGAACGATTTTAATGGTAATCTAGATTTCATCCAAAGACACTTGATCCAGCATCACAGCGAACATAAAATTTAATGTAAAAATGTATTGAATAATTTCAATCAAATAAAAAACAATGGAAACTGCCTACACGGGCTTGAAGTGAGAGGTTAATTAGACAGTTTACTAATTGACAGAAAGAAAAATATATAACTCAGTACTCACAGCAGTGAGTGACAGAGAGCGCATTTTCTCGTCGATGAAAACTTGAGGTCACGGACGGACGGACGGACAGACAGACAGACGGACATGGCGAGCACAATAGTGCATTTTTCCATAAATGAGAAATTGCGCTAAAAATTAGAGAGAAAGTTGCATCGATTAGTACGAAGTCCAGATCTCTAACTCTACAATCACCAACAGGTAGAATGGATACGGATGCTGCGCACGTTTGTTGACAGCCACGTAGCGGGAGCAGACGGGCGACGCTAGGTTGAATTCTATCCACTGCAGACTACCTAGTGCTGGAGGACCTGCGTAGTAAGCCAGCACTGTGTACGCACTGAAGTCTCCAGGGCTAGGAGGAGGGTTCACGCCGCCCAGGAACTGATAGTGAGAAAATGAGGAGTTTCATTTTGTATTGTATAACTGAAATCTTGGAAATTTATCGAATATCCAACGGATGAAACGATACCTGATGACATTAGTCTGAACTCGGTTGTAATATGTTCTCTTAATTTCTTGATTAAATCCTATAGCAAACGAAAATAGTTGAAGAAATACTTTCAAATCGATAATTTTTACGTGTTAGTTAAGATAATAGAAACATAATATGATAATTCAATGCTTAAAATGAAAATGACAAGTAATGACAATAATTAATCTTCTCGTTATGGCTTAAACTTTTGTAGCTCAGTTGATAAGGAATTGTTACGTGAGAGTAAATCGTTATTACCTAATGCTTTCATTCCTATAAAAACTCCAATAGACTTTAATTTACGCGAAACATTCAGCGAAAACCCTATTAAGAAAAAAAATATACAGAATATCTCTAGATATTCACCTGAATATCCACGAAGCGTTCCACTTGATTTGGCAACAGAGTGTAAGGTAGCACTCTGATTTTTTCAACTCGCACGCAACTTATCAAGTCGATCAGAAGCCAAGGTTGGTCGATACTGTAGGTGTCCAGCGAGTGAAACACAGTCGTGTTATCCCCGTCGACGGCTCTCGTTGAGTTGCTGTGGGAATAATCAAAATAAGTTGGATTAAACGGCGAGTTCTCACGTCCGAGTAAACTCCGTACGTCCGTAAACTCGAGTTCTCACGTAAACGGCGAGTTCTCACGTTCTCTACATTTTAAAGACAACACTTCTAAAGAGGCCAGTGTCTCCGATGTTACACATCTATAATAAATTTCTTATTTTATTTTTAAATATTTAAAAAAAGTATTTTTTCAATTTATTATGCGAAAAAAATGTAAAAATTTGTGCAAAATTTCAGATCGATTGAACAGGTAGAAGTGTGTTAAATATCGAGTATAAGATTTGTAGCACACAAAGAAACAAACAAGAAGTTAAGTTAAAGAGAACTCTTGCTAAATATTCGAATTAAAATTAAAAATACATAGTCAATTTACTTAAAGTGCAATTAATTTCTTTAAATGTTTAGCTCAAATAATGTGCGTTTTAGGTAAAATTACGTGGTAAAAATATTAAAGTCCAAATTAAAAATACATGCTCACTTTACTTAAAAAGAGAATTATTTTCTCAAAATTTTGAATTAAACTAATGTGCGTTATTTTAGCTAAATTTACGTGTTAAAAATATTAAAATCACAATTAATAACATACGTATAAAAATTACTTGTTAAAGACTACACTTCTGAAGAATCCAGTGTCTCCGATGTTGCACATGTACAATGAATTTCTAATTTTATTTTCAAATATTATAAAAATTAATTTCAAATTTATTTTTATTATAGAAAAAATTAAAATTTCTAAATTATTTATTCTGTCAATCGATTCATGATAACTTAACGCAAGTGTGTAAAATTTCAGGTTCGATTGGACAGCTAGAAGTGTGTTAAATATCGATAATATTTGTAGCAGACAAACAAACAAACAAGAAGTGAAGCTAAAGAGAAGTGGTGTAATAATATGCGTTTAAGATGTACTTTTTAAAGACAACACTTCTAAAGAGGCCAGTAACTCTGATGTTACACATGTACAATGATTTTCTTTTATAATTTTCAAATATTTGAAAAAATATTTATAATTTTTTAGTATATAATTTTACAATTATTTATTCTGTCAATTGATTCATGCATTGTCTTTACACACTTTACACTCAATTGATTCATGACACATTACATTCGCATGACACATTACATTAAATTGATTCATGCATTTTATTTTTCACACTTTACGCAAGTGTGCAAAATTTCAGATCGATTGGATCGGTATAAGTGTGTTTAATATCGATTATAAGATTTGTAGCAGACAAACAACGAGAAGTGAAGTTAAAAAGAAGTGTTGTAAAAATAGATAGGAAGTCACCGCAATGACACGCCTGCATGGGATTTGCGGCAGAAAATTTTATGGACACAAAATTAGCAATCAAGGCAAGTTTTGGGAGAGAATATTGATGTCCGATTTGTATATGCAAGAACAGAGAATCATCACATATTGAAAAAAAATAATTCTATCGTAACATTTATGAGGAATTTAGTGCCGAGAGAATTTACATTGTTATGAAGATATAAATTCCACACTTTTAGAGCCGACACACATGAATTTTTTTAAATTGTGCGATGTGAAATAAATAGGAGTATTAGCCTTCAAATAATGTTTAAAAAACACAAAAAGGAACAGTTTCCCATGCACGAACAAGTAGTTTATTTCCGTAATTTAATTTTTTTTAATTAAGCTAACAGGGGGTCATAATATGACGACGACGTCGCTGTCTTGCCCCGCGCGCGTTCGAAGCTGCCATGTCCTCCGAGGGCCTCGTAGCGGTGCGTACGTAGCGAGGGGGGCACAGCGGCCCCATAGATGGTGCATACGCCTGCCAAATTGTTCAGTAATATAATTATTGATAATTACTCAGCGAAACAATTATTATTTCGATCAGCATGAATGATACAATTTTCAAACTCATTTACAAAGTTTTGCTATTCAACGACAAGAGAGCGTTGAAGTTCATTTATTATTAAAAGTTCATAGTTTGATTTGCGAGGCAGGTAAACTTCACCAACAACAAGAGTTCGTCTCTTTCACCTAGCTGGTGAAAATTCGGTAATTCAGCGTAAACCTAGAGAAGAATAGCTCTAGAAAATTGTGAATATGTGCGTCGAATACTATGTATGCTTATCTGAGTAACAAATTAGTTAAGTTGAAATCAATGTGATTCAGGAATAAATATTTGAATGAATAATTAGCCAGATATCAGTAAATGTTTTAACAAACAAAAATAATACGCCATTTACGAGTAATTCACTCAAGCCATTCCAATTCTTTAATCCAGAAAAGATACAATTATTAATTTGTTGGCGACATAACGGCTTAACCATTAACAGATAATTATCAAGATTTTTAAAATTACTGATGGATCTATTTACACTCACCGTTGTCAACTTCAAATAAGTCACATCCCATAGTGCTACAATAACTACCGCACATTATTTTGCTTTCAGCATCAATAGTCCTGGGCCCACATGAGCTCAAGCCACAGTTGCTTCCTTTGCTCTCATCAATCCAGTAGACAGAGCAGGTGTTGCTTATGCGGTGCAACAGAATAGCGAGCTGAACGAACTTCATGATAATTGATTAACGGTAATTTATTCAGGAAATAACCTTGGGTCGAGTGCAGTAAATTAGTCACTGCGTCGAGAACTGTGTTTGGAGTTGTCAATTCAGTTAAAATTATTAGCAGCTTAATTAAACCATCAGTGCCCCAAATAGAATATCCTTGACATTTAAGACCCCAGTTCTAATGAAATTCGATGATAGTTTTCAAACTGAGTTAATTAAGTCTTCGTCTGGCAAAATAAAATTCATCAAAGAAATTTAAATTTATGATTTCTGTAAAAAATTAAATGTGCATAATCAAACTATATGATTTAAAATTTAATTCCTAAATCACTTCTCATAATGACTTGACCACTACACATGAAATTCCAGATCTAGGTAACATCATCAATGATATTCATTGAAGATACCGTGCCTAAATAGCCACTATATGTAATAACAGTGCCATGCTACGGGTACACGCACCATCATTCGGCAGTATTAAATAGATTTAAACTGCACGAGCCCGCAACATTTCAAGATTATCGCGAGGCTCAATCAATTTTAAAAGCCTAAGTTTCCACAAAGTTTCATGTATAACCGAAATGATTAAATATTACGTCCGTAAAAATAATTTTGAATCCAGTCCAGCTACATTTAATTCAGAGTAATGAGCTACAAAATTTAACGACAAATTTTGGTATAAAAGATGAAAATTTTGTACGTCAATATATCAATCAAATTTACGTGATATGAGCAACTAATAAAATAAATTAAATATGAGTGCTCATGAAGATAATTGCGAAATGGAAAAATTTAGTGCATTAAATAGAATAATGCAAAACTTTTTAGGAATACTAGAACAAAAAGAACATTACAAGTATTATATCCTTAGTCTACTAAAAACCCAAATTACAAGGAATTTAAAAACAAACAGGGATTCGATTTTAGGGTTGATTTGTCTCTCATCAATTTTAAGTTTTACTGTCTGACTTTTGGGTTTTGAATTATAATGATTGTTTTCAGTCTTTCTAGATTTTCGAACTGACGAGTGAGCAGGACTCCGAAACGTTTTCAATATAGATCTGCTCAATCTACTTGTCGTTCTCTTTTCTTTTAAATTCCTTAAGAACATTATGATGTTAGTCCGGATATTGACAAGCATAATGACGCATATTATAATTATTTACACTGGATTTTGGAGAATTCAATTTCATTCTGAAATAGCTATTTCTTTATTTTAGATATAAGTACATAGCCAATTTTTGTGTGCATCGCATAAGGTATATGTATATCAAAATCAAATGATTTAAATTTAGGAAAAACGAAATCAAAATACAACCGTTCACTGTTCGAGTAAAGTATTTGCGATTTCGACGAAGGAAGTACTGTTACTAGTAATACAATTTAAAATTTATATTTAAATCGTTGCCGCCGAACAGGCAAACTCAACAGCGCCGTGTACAGGCTGAGCCACCTCACAGCAGGTGATGTGATTTGAATTTGAGGTGCTCGGTGAGGGCTGTATGGCAGCAGTCTGCCGTCTCTAAATTAGATATCGCTGCTTTGGAAAAATTCTGTTAAAATATAAAGGTTTTACATGATTAAAATATTAAATGCTAGCACTAATCCCTGCATGTTGTTCGTAAAAGGAATGAATTATTTGTTAATTTTTATTAGTCATTCATCTTGCTTGCTCGTGTTGATTGGTGTTTTATCATGTGCCGTTAGTCGGATGAATGTCTCTGAAAATTAATAATCTAAAAATCAATATTCCCGAATGAAATGATCTTGGCTTCCCTCTCAGAAATCGAGTCCCTCACCGACTTCAATACGAACAGCTGTGTTTAATGTATCAATATGCTTCTATAAGGGTGGCTCCTGCATATTTCTTGAGATAAAATGAAGGTGTTCATTCATCTGGTGAATGATGCATTTGATTTTTACAAAAGGTGAGTGTTACTGAATTTTAGTATTTAGTAACAATGAACTGAAAGCATACAGAATAAGAAGATATGGTCGCAAAAAGTGATTTGTGATTGTAAAGTCGGCCGTGGAAGAATATCTGAGAGTTTATGTTAACACGCAGCTGAAAGTTTCTAGGCACGTTCAAACGCAAGTTAGTACATCTAATAAACTGCTTGGGCTGATCAGACGCTGCTACGAGTAACTAGATGCAGAAGCGATGAAGCTATTGGTTAACCCATAATAATCCATAATAAGGTCGAAGCTGTTGGTAAGAATATGGGTTCATCTGCAATGGACATTAAAGTTCGCATCGAAAACGGCGGAGCTATCACTTTTTAATAATGTTGAACGAAATAGAAGTAAAACCTCATGTGAATCAAGCTTAAATGGGTACAAATAGTTTAATCTCACCCTGTGAGACAAATGAATCCGTACTATTTCGATGAGTTTCGATCAAATTATGTGTTTTCCATTTACGGAGACGGTATAGTTGCTAATTTCAGGAATATAAATATTTCCCAGAAATGTTTTTCATGAGCAAAAACAGCTAAAATTTAAAACCGCGGAAATGTTAATTCCTAAACAACTCCTGATTGTATTAAAAGAGCCATTTTGCTTTTAGAGGTGTTTTGATGGCTTTTTGCATCGACCATCCTTTCCTAGCTTATTAATTAAAAGTTGTCCAGTAAATTTAGTAGCCCAGTCTAAGGAGTTTTTTAAGTTCCTGTGGCAACAATTGGTTAGTGACCAGAGATGCAAATGACTGCTTAGACCCAAGGACTCTATATATTTCTTTAATTTGTCGATATGATCGCTCGATATTAATAGCATAGTTCACATTTTATCTCATTTACGCATCGGGCATTTACGTTTTCGACTAACTGTTGGTCATCAATATTGATTTTAAAAACATCCTGTCAAACCAGAGAATTGTAGAACTTACAAAAGATCGAGTTCGGAGGTAGCCGAGCTCGTATACACATGTGGATTTGATGCAAGTTATTTTTGTGCCCAGTTACTGACATTACAATATTTTCGGAAATGAGGAAATCTGAATCGTGTCAATCTAGCTCAACCAAATCTAATCGTGTCAATCTTGTTCAACCATTTTGTCAAGAACGGCACAGGTAAACCATGATTAAAATTTCGAGAAACATTTGAATCGAGAGATTTAAAATGAATGTGTACCTTTGAAAGCTGTGAGGCGAGAAAAACCTTTTTCAACATGAATCGTGTCAATCTAGACCAATATAATTTTTTTATATGCACGAACTGGGAATAAATTACGAATTAATAATGAAACCCTATCACTTAAAAAATCATAGCGATTACAATTAAATTTTTAATCACTCTCATTCAACATTTAAATTAAGTAGTTTCTCCCCTTAGAATATAATTCATAAGGTTTTTATGTTCAGATTTTTGACTTATCATTCGTCGTAGAATACATGCGGACTGATAAAAAAATATAGCTAATTAATAATAAAAAAATGCATTATAAAATTTTCAATTTGAAAATATACGGAAATATTCAGAGTGAAGAGAAATAAGAAATTTTTCGTTTCGATAATTTGTACAGTGTTATATAGGAAGGCTTTGCGCTGTACGGCACGCAAGGTCCCACAGCCTCGCCACCACGCGACTGGAGGCCGACGTCGGGAGGCCGAGATAATATCGCAGCAGGTGAATTTGCCGTGCATGTACGCATCAAATGCAGCTGATTAGCCCGGCAATGAGGCATGAGTTTTGTATCCTGGAAAATATTAATTTTCAGATATTGAGTAAAATATTGCAAAACTTTTTAGAAATACTAGTGAAAAAAGAACATTATGATGTCAGTCCCGCATTGATAAGCGTAATGACGCATATTCATATTTTAACAGATTTTGGAGAATTCCATTTCATTCTGGAGTGGCTGATGCTTTATTTTAGATTTAAATACATAGTCAATTTTTGTGTGCATCGTATACGGTGCATTAATGTCGCAATGGTTTAAATCTTAATAAAACACTAGCTCTTCATTCATAATTTTTAGCAGCAGATTCAAATTCACGTTTCATTCGTATCGGCATGCGTCGCCAATGTATTCTGTCTTCTTATTCTGTCTTACCAGTATTGTCTTCAGTACTTTATACAGGTCTTAAAGGTCTCTAAGTCATGGTCTTGCAGTTATTAGTATAACTGTACTCAATTATTGTAGGTACCTGGATGATAGTGAAATTTTATTCAATAAAAATTCAATGAGAGATTCAGAAAAAGTTTAATATTGAGGATTGACTCTGACTTTTCTTTCTGTTTAATTGCTAAACAGACATAATTCAGTTAAAATAATATACGCTTAAAAATTACTTTTTAAAGACAACACTTCTAACAAATCCAGTGTCTTCAATGTTACAGATGTACAATGAATTTCTCGTTCAATTTTCGAATATTAACAAAATTAATTTTTCAATTTATTTTAATATACAAAATTTTGTTTCAAAATTGTTTATTCTGTCAATTGATTCATGCATTGCCTCCGACTTCGCACAAGTGTGCAAAAATTCAGATCAATTAGACAGGTAAAAGTGTGTCAAATATCAGTTATAAGATTTGTAGCTAACAAAATTATTTTTTCAATTTTTTTAATTTTGAAAAAATTTTTTTTTTAATTTCTAAAATAATTTATTTTGACATTTGATTCAGGCATTGTCTCCAACTTTACACAATTGTGCAAAATTTCAGATCAATAGGATAAGTAGAAATGTATTAAATTTCGATTACAGATTTGTAGCAGACAGACAGACAGACAAACAAACAGACAAGAAGTGAAGTTAAAGAGAAGTGTTGTAATAATAATATACGTTTAAAAATTACTTTTTAAAGACAACACTTCCAATGAATCCAGTGTCTCCAATCTT